TGGAAAATTTAAGGAGTTATTATTATGTACGTTTAGATGATACAACCGGTAGGATACTTTTGCACGTTACTGTAACTAAAACATCTCCCCACTTCTTCTTTTCTCCCAACCAGTAAGCCTCTTGGTTTTCCAAGACAGTCCTCTCTCCTACATATCTTTCTGTTGCACCATTCCTCAGAGCCTCTAACCTATCTGACTTCGCACTAGCCTTCTCAAATTCCTGTTTCAACTGAGCAGTGTCCATGTCTGTTTGACGAAGTGAAATGTTTATAGAAAGATATGCTGCGCGATGTATTAATATATGCTGATCAGTGGCTTAATCAATGACGTATTCTTAGGAACGTTCTAAACCTTTTCTAATGATAATCAATGCGCAGAAATTCGCGTTGTCTAATAAATTTCCGTAGTGTATGATGAACAAACGGATATTTTATTATAAAAACAGCGCTGGTTAACTTCGGAAATCAACCACAATGCAATAAATATCGTTAAATCAATACATCGTTTAAAGCAATAAAACAAATCTGTCAATTTCCACCAACAACACTACGAAAAATGCTCACATTCACAAGCGAATTCTTCCTTGGAGTATTAATTGGTTTCGTTCTTGGTTTATTGGTAAACTGGCTAATCTGTAATAGCCAACTCTATTGTACTGGCGCAATACTTAAGACTGGAAAGTCTACTGGTAACAAAACCGTCCGCAAAAAAAACTTACTCGCCAGACCTTGAAACAATCTAAAACAACTATACGATAAAAGAATCGAATTGAATCCAAAATTTTCATTTAACGAAATGGCTTTCGAAATTCATAAATTACTTGAAGTAAAAGCTGTTGCAGCTTCTGCAATACGAAATTTTTATCTTCGGCGAACAACTCCGCGGAAAAATTCCATTATGGCAATCCAATGTTGGATTGACGAAGAAACAGATGGGGAAAAAGAAAATGACGAAATAGAGGATAATAACATCGTTATTAATACTAGTAATAGTAAAGAAGATAATGAAATTTAAATTTGCACAAGAGTGACCAAAGAATAGGTTATACTCATCAATGGCTTTGGGTCTGAGTTTTTCCTCCCATGCAATCACTCTGGTGTTTTATATTTTAAAAGCGCGCATTCAATAATCGAATAATAAAATTTATGCTTACAAATAAATGATTTTTTTTTTTACATCGTTTGACTCTTTAATTGCAAGTGTGTTAAAAAAGCAAAAATGCGCTTAAGCAGTTTTATATCAAGATTGTAAGAAACGATCTCTCGTTGATAGGTTGCTCGATTAGTGGAGGAAGCGTTAGTGAGAAGTTTTTATGTTAAACTGCTTCCTTTCCCTTTCTTCAAGTTTTCTTTTTTTTCTTGGTTTATCAAAAGAGGTTAATGTTCGTTTATTGGTTTTTATTTTTCGTTCTTCTTGATAAATTTCATAAGTAATTTTTTCTTGATCTAGATATTCCTGGAGTGTTTGGGTATTGTTGATTTTAAAAACATAGGGAGCAATTTTCTCTCCTTGAGCTTTCTTTAAAACGCTTCTAATGGTGCTGTAATTCTTGGGTTCCATGGTGAATTTAATGTAAATTAGTTTCATATTAATAATTTTTATATAGAGATAATCCTATATTCATCACATTATGATTTACACTCACTGGCCAAAAGTACTTGCCGAAATCTGCTGATCAATAGTAAAACATATGAAAAATCTAATTTTTTTGA